CCAGGAGTTGGAGGTTGCTGTGAGCTGTAATGCCATGGCACTCTACCCAGGGGGAAAGCTTGAGGCTCTGTCTCAAAAAAAAAAAAAAAAAATTGTTTTATCTTATACCAGGAGTAGGGAACCTGTGACCTTCTGATTTCAAGATCATTCTTTTTTTTTTTTTATAGTTTTTAGGCGGGGCTGGGTTTGAACCCACCACCTCTGGCATATGGGGCTGGTGCCCTACTCCTTTGAGCCACAGGTGCCGCCTCATGATCATTCTTTTTTAAGCACTTTGGTGGGCAAGAAAAGCTTCATCTTTCTCTGCTGCACCCCTTTTAATAAAAGGATTTGTTAAATAAAATTTGGATTCATTCAAAAGGCTGCACTTAAGGTCCAGGAAAGCCACAAGTCTCCATAAGGTTACAGGTTCCTCATCCCTCAATAGAGCCATTTTGAAATAAAAATCAAGATAAATGTGTATATTCAGAAATGGCTTGTGTTTGGTATGAGGTAATTATGTAATGAGCTGCTGGGTCCTTCTCCAGTTATATGGCCTATGGGAAGCAGAGATGGGTTAGAGCTGCAGTAAGAAGGATGCTAGAAGGTACTAGAATATGGGGGGAAAACAGTAACCATTTGGGAAGGCAGTACTTTCTTAGGGATTGGGAGAGGGAAAGTTCCCTTCCTGTGTCATTTTATAGCATGAAGAATTCTAAGCTATAATTTCACTTCTTAAAGAATGAAGGTCACACATACTCCACAACGAATGTAAACAGTTTTATTTAGAAACAGGTACCTGTTTGCATTGTACAATATAAAACTTGGTTTACACTCTATAAAAAATAACCAATATCCAAATTCAAGAGAGCTAGCATTCACAGAACACACAATATGGGTGTGTAGCTACTGTTCACCAGCCTCAGCCTTGATTTAAACCAAAAAACCCTCAAAACAAACAACAATTCCCTCCCCCCCCAAACTCAGGGGGAATGGTTAGGGGTTAAATTACAGTGCTTGCTGCTGAGTCCCCAGGATTTGGAATTGCCTTCTTGGCAGATTAAGTTTTGCTCAGTGTGTGATTTTAACACAAAGCCTGGGCTCTCTGCACCGAGTGAGCTTTAAGGCTCTCTTGCCACACAGTTTACAATGTGCCCTAACTAAGCCAGGGTTGGTAGCACTATCATCTCTGGTCTTCTTAACAATAAAAACGGGGAATCCGGAGGGCAACACATTTTCATCATCTTACACTGTGGTTAAACTTCAAAAGAGCATATTCGCTATCAAGAGCTCAATACAAAGGCTGAGGAGGAGTTACATGACACCTGGCTTTTTACTATAACAAGGAGCCCACCTCACATGATTGTGGAAGACTGTATACCTAGGTTCAGATTATGATAATCACCCAGCACCACCTGAATGTATTACCCAGAAAGACAGAGGAAATAATAAAGGTTATATATACATATATTTATCTTGGTAACCTGAGGGCTATAAACTTGGAATACAATACTTGGCAAAAGAGGTCTATCTGTAAGAAAGGGACCAAGAAGGACAGCGGTTGTGTTGCATAAAACATGGGTAAAAGTGGAGGGGGGAACAGAAGGTGGTTTCTTTAGCTCTTTCTACAACATCCCTGCCTTTCATGAGAACTGGCAACCAGTTGATCTGCCTTGGTGGGGGGGCGGGCAGCAGAGAGATGGGAGATGAGGGGATGGGGTCAAAGGCAGGAAGGGAGAGCAATGGTCCTCAAACCAAAGAGCCCTCTCTGCAGGTCCTCTCATCTCTGAGTGTGAGCGTAAGCTCCCCAGCGGACACAAAAAGAGGCCTGGTAGTAAGTGGTTTGCATTCTGAGGTATGAGGATCCCTGGTAAATTCAGCAGCATATGGTTTTTGGAAACCAGCCCACAAGATAAGAATACTGCAACCAAGTTTGTAACTAACACTGCTATTTAACTATTGTTCAAAAGAGAGAGGGAAGGAAAAAAAAATCCCTACTATATTGGGAGGTTCTAATCTTTCATAAAAGGTGTCCAAATAATCTATTTTATCTTACGGCTTCTTAAGAGAATTCCCATTCAGTGACCATTTCTCTCAGTAAAGGCACTTACAATGATGTGATTGGAAAGGACTGAATATTAATTGTAGTGAAACCAAGATTAAATCCTTGGCACACCTGAGGAGAGGAGCGAGATGGGGCACTTACAGGGACTTTAACAGGCAAATAATTATGTCATGAGCATTTCAACATATCCCTACCCAGAAAAAAATGTATGCCCTAAAAACACTTGTATTTTTCCTTTAGTTTTTCTAGCTGTTTCTATCTATAGCTCTATGAGGAGATCACATTCACTACCTGATTTCCAAAACACTGGCCCGAACTCTTACCACCACAGCTGTGCTTGATAAAATTAGCAAACAGCTTGTTTGGGGGAGTGGGGTATGAAATCAATTTGGGCCAAATTTTCTTAATGCACAGGGATCAGTCCTTGTGCAGATAATGGCAGGATCAGATTGCTGGATCTGTGAGCAACTGATGTAATACATGGCTCCTCCTATTTGTGAAATATCAGACTTTTCAATAGGCAAGATTAAGTGTCACCTATCTAAATATAAGTTGTAGAACTATGGAGTATTTTTTTTTCCTTTTATCTCTCATGAACAATTCTTATTGATCTCAGGCTTCAAAAATTAGTTAAGTGAGAATTATAAAAATTCTATGATAAGAGTTGAGAAAGAGTCAAGGGCTAATGTATGCTTGTAAGTGTGAGTTGAGGATCTTGATTCTTCATATCATACTCCCAACCAGAGAACAAATACAAAAATAAACACACCATGTTATACGTAATACAAAGTGTAAATCTATAAACACAAGTGTACTAATTAGAGTTGTTCCTCAGAAGCACGGTTTCCCTCCAGTCCCTCGGAGAGGAGGAGGAATGGGGACGGGATGGTTTTCCTTACGCCTTTTCATGTCTTAAAAAGTTTGTAATAACAGTCTCAGTAGCGCAAACAATTTCATGTGAAACCAGAAGCTGTAAAAATAAATTACTTTTGAGGAAATGCGAGTTCCTCTGTCTGTAGCTCAGAATTCATCATGTCGTACTAGGGCCTCTCCGAAATCTGTGGCCTGGCTTCCAACAAATAAATCATATTTGTCAACAATCTCCTCCTTGGTAAGCTTGCCATCCTGAAATTAGAGAGCTCAATTAATTGAACCAGAATGCAATTCTTATTACAAAATCAGAAACACTGCTAAGGAATAATAAGAGATTAATCAGAATTTAAAATTCTATTTCTTACTAAATTTAAAAGTAAACTCAAACCCCAACCTTCATCTGGCCCCCAAAGAGGGAGGAAAATAGTAATTAATACATTTCTTTCATATAGAAAGTTAAAAATGGAAGGAGGGAAATAGTGTAACTCAACAACTCAATACTAGAGACACAGATTTGTTCCTCAGGAGAAAGGACTTCCTTAAGATCAAAATATGAGACTTCTTAGATATGGGTGAGAGATGGCCAAATATAACTGGGTAAATACTTTGAAATGGATCAAGTCATTGTTTAACATGAACAATAAATGCCACCAATATTAAGCCCAGCTCACAGCTCCATTTTGCCCTAACCACCAGTGAGGTTATCGACACAACCCCAGATACTTATCTTAATCTCACCATCTAGATTCCCAAGAGATGACTATAAAAGTTTCCTTTTCTCACAGTACCTGGCTACCGAGGTGACTCTGAACAAGAATTCAAAACAGATCAATCCTATAAAGGCTCTAAGAAAAGAAACTTCATTTGAAACTGAAGATTGTCTAGAAGATAAAGGAATGTTCAGAATACTAAAATTCCCCATCTTCTGATTGATTTTAAGCTTACTCTAAGCACAGCATTCAAATCTTCACAAAAGGTAATAGGTCTCACTGATAACAATCACTTTTTTTTTTTTTTTGCAGTTTTTGCAGGGGCTGGGTTTGAACACACCACCTCTGGCATATGGGGCTGGTGACCTACTCCTTTGAGCTACAGGCACCGCCACCTTTTTGTTTTTAATTGAAACACAGTCCTGCTCTGTTGCTGGGGTGAGAGTACAGTGGCACCATCATAGCTCACTGCAGCCTCAAACTCCTGGGCTTAAGTGATCCTCCTGCCTCAGCCACTCTAGTAGTATACTGCATGTGTGCACTACCACACCCAGCTAATTTCTTTCTTTCTTTTTTTTTTTTGAGACAGAGCCTCAAGCTGTCGCCCTGGTTAGAGTGCCGTGGTGTCACATAGCTCACAGCAACCTCCAACTCCTGGGCTCAAGCGAGTCTCCTCCCTCCGCCTTCCAAGTAGCTGGGACTACAGGTGCCCGCCACAATGCCTGGCTATTTTTTGGTTGCAGCCGTCATTGTTGTTTGGCGGTCTGGGCTGGATTCGAACCTGCCAGCTCAGGTGTATGTGGCTGGCGCCTTAGCTGGTTGAGCCACAGGCGCCGAGCCAATTTTTTTATTTCTTGTAAAGACAGGGTCTCCCTCAGGCTGGTCTCAAATCCCTAAGCTCAAGTGATCCTCTGGCCTCGGCCTCCCAAAATGTTATAATTATAGGTGTGAGCCACCATGCCTGGCTGATAATACCACTCTTAACAATATGTCTCAGATAACTGATCAAGGACATTTTAACAGACTCTAGAGAAAAGCTGATTTGTAACCTACTGCAAAGGACCTAATTTTAAAATGTATATTCGATTTCAGAAGGAAATAACCAGTTTAAATAGGCAGAATGAGCCTGCCATAGGCAAAAGAACAAAAGAAATAACAAAGCAAAAAAAAAAAAAGCAAAATTTCCTGGGGATCCAAAGATAACAGATGATGCACGCTGGGCACAGGCTACACACAGAAGCTTTTTTCTAAAGCCCAAGTTCCTCCCATGCTCTGAGCACTAGGCAAAGGGATTTCTAAAAGGAGATCAAGGCCAGGTCTAGGGGTTCTTACATGTAATCCCAGCACTTTGAGAGGCAGAGGTGGGAGGACAGCCTGAGGCCCGGAGTTCCAAGACAAGCCTGCGCAATATAAAGACCCCTATCTCTTTATTTTTATTTTTATTTTTTTTTTTGAGACGGAGCCTCAAGCTATCTCCCTGGGTAGAGTGCCATGGCATCATGCTCACAGCAACCTCCAACTCCTGGGCTCAAGCGAGTCTCCTGCCTCAGCCTCCCAAATAGCTGGGACTACAGGCGCCTGCCACAACGCTCGGCCATTTTTTTTTGGTTGCAGCCATCATTGTTTGGCGGGCCTGGGCTGGGGATTCGAACCCGCCACCTTAGGTATATGTGGCTGGCGCCCTAGCCACTTGAGCCACAGGCGCCGAGCCCCCCATCTCTTTAAACAATAAATATCAGACAGGCATGGGTGGTGCAGGCCTGCACTTCCAGATACTTGGGAGGAACACTTGAGCCCAGGAGTTCAAGCTCACAGTGAGTTATAATCAAGCCACTACACTCCAACCTGAATGATAGAACAAGACCCTGTTTCTAAAATAAAATAAATAAAATTAAAAAAAAATACAATGAGATCAGATAGCTAGTACTGCCCTGAAAGCCTAATTAAGGCCTTAAATGTTCTATGTACCTTAAATGACTGTTTTTAGTCAATAAAGACTTCAGATCAAGGCTAGATTGTGCTGGCCTGGCCAGACTTACCTTGTTTTGGTCTGATTCATAGACCAGGTGCCTGGCTTCTGCCTCTGCATGATCATAGTCTGAGGGGAGGATCCAATCTTTGGTCTCTTCCTTGTCCATCTTCCCATCACGATTTTTATCTCGAAACTCAACAAACTGCTCTCGCTCTGTCTTTACCCACTCTGGCTCATCAGCATTTCCATCATGGCTGTACATGTCACCTGGATGGACAGACATACAAAAGAAGGGCTTGTCTTTTTCCAAAGCCTGCCACATGCTAATCTGGCCCAACCCTTCTTCCTTAAGTATGTATTTGGAATGAGGAGCAGTCACAAGGGCATTTTAGTCAGAGAGACCATAGAAAGCAAGGCATTTTCCTGAGGCTTAATTACTGAACTTGAAACAAGAGTATTTCTAGTTGTTGACTTTGAGTGATGAGAACAAAGAGAGCACTTATGCCTTTACCAGAAATTGGCCAGGTGAGGTGGCCCACACTTATAATCCCAGCACTTTGGGAGGCCAAAACAGGAGGACTGCTTGAGGCCAAGAGTTCAAGAGCAGCCTGGGCAACATAGCAAGACCTTGTCTCTACAAAAAAACTTTAAAAATTAGCCAGGTATGATGGCATATGCCTGTGGTCTCAGCTGCCTGGGAGGCTGAGATGGGAGGATTGCTTGAGACCAGGCTGCAGGGATCACACCACTGCACTCAAGCCTGAGTAACACAGCAAAACTCTGTCTAAAAACAAAGCAAAACAAACCACTGAAATAAGGAGAAGACAAGGTAAGATAGACTAATTCCCTACATTTCATTTCACCCCAAGGTTGCTAAGTAAATTGGACCATAGGTTTTTAGAAAGATGCAATTTTAAATTTTTAAGGAAGGCTGAAAATTATGTGTTACAAGGCAAAACTGTCTGCCAACCAATTACTAAACAAAATACATTTATACCAGTGGCCTTCAGCTGGGGCAACTATGTCCCTGAACAAACAAAAACACCATCAAGGGGCTCGATGCCTGTAGTACAGTGGTTATGGAACTGGCCACATGCAAGGCTGGTGGGTTCAAACCCAGCCTGAGGCCAGCTTAACAATAATGACAACTACAACAAAAAATAGCTGGGCATTGTGATGGGTGCCTGTATTCCTAGCTACTTGGGAGGCTGAGGCAAGAGAATCGCTTAAGCCCACGAGTTTGAGGTTGCTATGAGCTGTGATGCTACAGTACTCTACTGAGGGCGACATAGTGAGACTCTGTCTCAAAAAAAAAAAAAAAAAGAAAAAAAGAACACTGTCAAGGAGTACACTGGGAAAAACTGGTCACAAGAGAATCAAATTCGAGATCCTCAATTTTTTTTCCTAAAAATTGATCAGTTTAAGTATGTATCTCTGGCCATCTTTCCCACCTAACCTTTCACAACTGCCCTCTCTTATTTTATGAAAAAAAGGCATATTCTCACCATCTTGAAACTTACCGGAGTGTAAAAAGCCCTGACATGAAAAAGGGAAAATTAGAAATATTAGTATTGGTTTTGAGAATATAGATGTCTCAAAAAAAGGAGTAACAAGTTCTTTTTGCACATGAAGAGGTTTCCAATTCTTTACTTTTTAAAAAACTGAAAGAGGGCCTTATTGAGTTTTAGCTAAGGGATCATTAAAAATAATTGCTAATGATGGGCGGTGCCTGTGGCTCAAAGGAGTAGGGCATATGCTGGAGGTGGCAGGTTCAAACCCAGCCCCAGCCAAAAACTGCAAAAAAAAAAAAAAATTCTTGACAACGGAGCATATGATTTTGGGCATATAATGCAAAAGAAGTTCCCAGAACTAAGGGTTGTTATAATCAATAAATATTTTGTTCAATTATGTATTAATAATTATAATAGTAACTTAATGCAGAAGCCTCTTTAAAAACATTTAAGGGCCTTATTACAGAAAGCAATTATTCTCATTTCAATTTACACATACAACATTCTTAAAAATAAGAACACCGAGGTGACAATAAGGCTTTCAAGATAAAATGCTACTTATTATTCATCTTGTGGCTGATAAGTGGTATAAATATCCCCCAATACCTATAAAATTAAGCAAAAAGTAAATTCAAGGCTGGGTGCAATGGCTCAAGCCTGTAATCCTAGCACTCAGGGAGGCTGAGGCAGGTGGACTGCTTGAGCTCAGGGAGTTTGAGACCCCCAGTTTCTACTAAAAATAGAAAAAACTAGTTACTGTGGTAGGCGCCTGTAGTCCCAGCTACTCAGGAGGCTGAGGCAGGAGGATTGCTTGAGTTTGAGGTTGCTGTAAGCTACACTATGGCACTCTATCCAGAGTTACAGAATGAAACTCTGTCTCCAAAAACAAGAAAAGAAAACAGGTGCACAGGTTACATTGTTCCAAATCAAACACTACTTCCTTTTAAATTATTATGAAATAGAAAAATAATAAGTAACATTTATTGAGCACTTACTATATTCTAGGCATAATGATATGCATTCTACTTATGTTATCATTTTTGTTATTATGAAAACTTTCAAACATATATAAAAGTAGAAAATAGTCCAAAGAACTTATTTACCTATCTGAAAACCAACAATTATTAAGCTTTTATCACACATGCTTCAGTTTTCCTTTCCCCACCCCCTCGAATGATTTTAAGGCTAATTTCAAAAATTACTTTACCCCCATATATTTTAGAATGTATCTCTAAAATTTATGGGCTTTTTTTTTTTTTTTTGAGACAGGAGCCTCAAGCTGTCCCCCTGGGTAGAGTGCCGTGGTGTCATACAGCTCACAGCAACCTCTAACTCCTGGGCTCAAGCAAGTCTCTTGCCTCCACCTTCCAAGTAGCTGGGACGATAGGCGTCCGCCACAACACCTGGCTATTTTTTGGTTGTAGCCGTCATTGTTGTTTGGCAGGCCCAGGCTGGATTCGAACCTGACACCTTGGGTGTATGTGGCTGGCGCCTTAGCCACTTGAACCACAGGCGCCAAGCCTATGGGCATTTTCTTATGTAGCTATAATGCTGTTATCATATTATACAAAACCAAATCCTTGGTATTATCTAAAATAGCCAGTCCAAAGTTGAAGTTGAATTTCCTCACTATCTTTTTCTTTTTTTTTTTGAGACAGAGCCTCAAGCTGTTGCCCTGGGCAGAGTGCTATGACACCAGAGCTCACAGCAACCTCCAACTCCTGGGTTTAAGTGATTCTCTTTCCTTAGCCTCCTAAGTAGCTGGGACTACAAGCACCCGCCACAGTGCCTGGCTATTTGTTGGTTGTAGTTGTTGTTGTTTGGCAGGCCTGCGCTGGATTCGAACTCACCAGCTCTGGTGTACGTGGCTGGTGC